ATTGAATATTGAGGAAACATTCCAGCCCAGGTCAGGTCAAGTCCAAAAGTTTGATATTAGTCCATATTAGCAATATCAATCTATAAAGCCCTCTTCAGACTCACGCAACACATGCAATGACACCAAATGCAGGAAGAGCACAGGCCAGTGGGTGGAACGTCTTGTGGACCCCGTGACGGTGGAAGCATCTCAGCGCTGGCAGGGGTCTCCCGCTCAGGACTCTAGTACACCTCCACGTGTCTTGTCCACAGGAATGTCTCACAGGGAGTGAACATGTGTCCGGCCTCCAGCAAGCAATTTATCTCCTTAGCGCCTCTAAATGAGGTCCTCAAGCTACAACCTGATTGACAGACTAAACTCCACCCCTTCACTCCTGAGTCTCAAATCGACAACAGATGACGTTGTTGCCACAGCAACCCATGGGGGCGGTTCTCCTCTGTCCTACGTGGTCACAACTAGCTCATGGCAGTGCGTTTTCCTTTATGCCCACTTGTTTATTTCGGAGGAATGCTTAGGCATGAAGATGAACAGGCTCTGTCTTGCTCGCTCTGAGCTTGTCATCGAGAAAGAGCCTTCACCAGTGGGCATGCTGGCTGGTTTCGGTCAAGTGTCGGCAAAGATGGACTGGCGTGGTGGCTGTGCCACTGCACTCGGATGTTCCCCGCCATATGATGGCACGCAGGACCAAGGGCTGGTTTCCTCCGTTGTGCACAATGGCATTGAGACTTGGAGATGACTCCAGGGCCACAAACGACAATGAGAATTTTATACCTGAGGGCAGTGATGTAAGAGAGCGTCCCCTGTTCCATCGACATTTCTTCCCGTGCCTGACCCCATCCCATACTGGAAACTGGAGAAGATGCTTCAGCACCGAGTGTCTGACTCCAACCATGCACTCTCTGACAGCACCCCCTCTAAGCTCAGGGCTGTGCCCCACCAGTCCCGCCGTCTGCCTTGGGGAGGGATGGCCCACAGAAGACACCTGTGTGGGTGCTAGAAATGGATGCAAGGCTTCTGGGGCAGGGAATTCCAGGTGCAAGGCCTAGAACTCAGCCCAGGGACCTCAGATGAGCACCTTCCGTTGGCCCCCAGGATTCCTCCCTTCCTGGGGAGGGACCTTTGCAGAAGAGGACCAGAGTAGTCCCTCTCGATATGTATCCAAGGGAAGATCCAATTTTGCATGGATCTCAGGGCAGTACTAGAAGTGTATACTTACCAATACCCACCTGGTGACCACAGAGGGAAACGCTGTGTGTATACCTTTAACCTATGAGTTATAATAGTGATCCTTGGTCCACGCCCCCCTTTTAGAGCAATGGACAAAAAGGGAGCCCAAATACCCCCAATCCTCAAAGAGTTATTTTTCCTTCCTGTCTGCCGGTAGGTCGTGATTTGGAGGGTCTTCTGAGACAGGCAAACATTCTGTAGTCTTGCTCTAAAATGACAAAGTTGGCCTCCTGGCCAATCCCGGAGTCCACGTGGAACTGCAGACCTCCTCTCTACTTCTCGTTGGGCCACCCCCTTCCAGGGACTCGCCTGCCTGAAACACCAGCTATGGCAACAACAACAGAGAAGGCTTAGACACAGAGCAACTTCTAGTTTAAGAATTTGACATGTAGGCTCACTACGCTGCTGGCTCCCTAACAGAGTCGTGCCTTTAAAATACTTAACAACTTGAAAAGGAAATCGAGCTTGAATTTTCCTTTTAAGAGCTCAAGAAATACCCGTGTTTCACTTCTGTCTGAAATTCCCCATCTTTGCAGACAAAGAAGGCTCTTACAGCAAAAGTAATGGCGTTTTCTCCGCAATTTTCAAATAAAAGATAAAGAGAAAACAGCAGTGCAGCCTTTTTGTGAGGAGCTAACAATAAGGGACTAACGCCGTCCTGCCAGGGGAGGGCTCCGGTTTTAAGCTCAGAACGCAGAGATAGTTAGAATGACACATTTTAGAAAGAAATATTCTCAACTACTGCTCTGAGTGAAGTAACGTTTCAAGAAAAGGATCGCCTTCGGTTATTTGGGGATATATTTATGATAGCGATTCAGCTGCTGGGGCCAGCTCTATGTGGAATTCTCAAGTGCAAGAAATACGATGGACTCTTTCAGCTCACCACTGCTTCCCATCCCAGGGAATCCCATCTCCCACTACTGTTCCCCAAACCTGGCCTTGGGAAGGGGCCGGGAGCGTCGTGCTTCACTGGCTGGAACAGCCTCTGTGTTCGTTTGGGGGGACTAGAGAAACAAATCCAGAGACACTCACATATGTGTGAGAGAGAGCTGTAGATCCAAGAGTCATTGTCTGGCTCAGTCCAGATCAAGTCCCTAAGTTCGATACTAGTCCATAAAATCTTGTACAGACTCACGCAGCACGTGCAATGACGCCAACAGCAGGAAGATCACAGGCCCGTGGGTGAAAAGTCTTGTGGAAGCATCTCAGTACTGGTGTGGCTCTCCACGTTGGCTGCTTCAGCTCCAGGGCTCTGGCTGCCATCAGCATAGCTCTATGTGGCTTGTCAACAGAAGGAGAAGCAGAGAGAGTGTTTGTCCCACCTCCAGAGAGGAAGACAGGAATTCCCAGAATCCTCAGGAGAAGGCCATGCCCCCACAGAGGCAACATTGGCTATGACCTGATTGACAGGCTAGAGACTCCACCCTTTCGCTCAAGTTGGCAGAAGATGATGTGACTGTCCCGCCCTCCCTACATGGTCCAACTCCTCTTTGTGTGGTAAACTTGCCCTGCAGCGCCTTTCATCTTCTTCTAGGCAATCTTCCACGGTGCCCACTCTCTCAGTGACAGCACTTAGAGCCACTCCACTGCCCCCTCCCCCCACTGCATTCACTGTAATTGATTTATAACTGTGATCTGTGTTCCATACCAGATGATACTCTCTGTGAGAGCAAACACCATGAGGGTCCTCCCTAATACTTACATTTCCATTATTAAGCCTGTGCTTGGCACATCATAAGTCTAAGTGAATAACTGAATGAATGAATAAACGAATGAACGAGAGGAACTTAAACCACTATGTTGCTGCTTCCAGGATATTTGCGTTAACTGTAATTGAATGAAAGGCACTTAGCCTAAAGTCGTTAGAAACCTGGTGGGAGAGTATTTGCAGGATCAAGTCTCTGTAATGCATTCATTGGGTTGCCTACCTTGATGTCGTCAGGTTGTTTTTATTTTGGGGTGAGAGGTGATACAGGGTAAGGAATATGGTCAGGATTTGCAAGACATAAAGAATACATAAAACCCATCAGAATGGGTGGCTAAGCATTTATACGTGTCAATTCCAGTATTTAGTACTAATAACACATTATCGCTATTGTCCGTATCTACAGACGAGGAACCTGAGACACTGGAGATTAAATGTGCCTAATCTCACAGACCAGGTGGAGGAATCAGGGTTTGTTCCCCAATAGCTTGATCTAAGAACTCACAGTTAATTGTAGCTGAAGACCTCGAGATGCCTCCTGTTCACTGGAACCTAGGGTGGCCAGGGGTGCTCTTGCAGCCAAGAAAGCACTGTAGTCTATTCACTGGGCTCCCAATGTGGCTCCTCTTGCTTCCTGCCTCTGCCTCCTGTGCCAGCCACCCCACGCCGGTCTCCCATGCACCTCACTCAGGAGAGAGGACCTGCCTGAGCTGCCGGCCCTATCTCGCATGCACCATCGTGTCATGGAGGGATCTGACTGCACACCACTGCCACGGCCACTAGGATCCAATTTCACGATGAGGGAGCGATGAATGAGAAAGAAGAGAGGTTACCCAAAATAAACAGCTATTTTTGTCTCCCGTGAAAGTCAAGAAGTGGAGGTTCAAGGCCAGTCTGGTTGCTCAAGGTACCTGGGATCCAGCCTCTTTTTTCTTATTTCCCCACAGCACACTTATGCACAGCACACCTGGGCATCTGCTGGAGCTCCCACGGTTGTCTCTGGATTTCAGCTGCAGGAAGGAGGAAGGGGCAAAGAAAGGCAGGTCCTTAAGACATTGAGCAAGGAAATGGTGCCGTCCCGACATTCCAGCCACCCTCTGCTAAGCAATATAGTCTTTACTCAGTATGGCCACACAGCTGCTGAACATGCCAAGTTCTTTTGCAGACAAAGAGCACACCTGTCTGTCTCAACACCTTCCTCCCCCCTCTGCGCAGCTGTGGGCAGTTGGTGGAGCACGAGGGGTCATCATGACCCTCTGACAGGGAGCCCTGAGACCTTTTTAGCAGGGACCGTGCGCCTGGCATTTATCCAGCCTGGCCCATGAAGCAAAGGGACGTATGTTTCCTCGAAGTCACATCAGAGCAGCAGCTGCTCGGAGCCTGATCTCCCCCCACCGCCCACCCCCATTGTGCTCACGGCACACAGTCCGTCATTCAGACCGGACGTCACCCAAGCGCAACCTCGGCCAGCGTTTGCAGGATGAGCTTGATCTGATTCCCCGCTCAGGGTCACAGCCAAGCACCGGCTTTTGTAGGTGGGAGACACAGCCTGGGGAGTGTACGCCTTGGAAATGGTCTACAGCGAACCCTCGTTTATCGCGGTTAATCGGATCTAGACCCTACCGTGATAAATGCAATTCCGCGAAGTAGGATTCCTTATATCCAAAAGTTTTACCTTTTCCTGGATGGTGAGCATCTTCCTCTGGTGCTTATTTTTATTGTCAGAAGGCTTAGAAGAAGCAGCTCGTTTAGGAGCCATCATAGGACTTAGATAAAATTTCTTAAAAATCACAAACAATTACAGTACACTGTACAAAAGCAAAAATGCATCTGATACGTAGCTCTGATACGTAGCGATACAGACAGAAGCGTGTACAGTATGAGCCAATCAGTGGCAGTAATGACAGAGCATGCGCTGTTACGCAAAAACCGCGATAGAGTGAAGCCGCGGAAGTCGAAGCGCGAAGTGGCGAGGGTTCACTGTATAGTGTGCTCATTGACCTCCATGCCCCTCCCTGACCTTCAGGAAATGTTTGTCTCAACGTGTTGTCTGTCCTTTCCTCTGCAGGCTCCTGCGGCTGTCTCGTCATGATATTGTTTGCCTCTGAAGTGAAAATCCACCACCTTTCAGACAGAATCGCAAATTACAACGAGGGGACCTACGCCTACAAAACGCAGAGCGAGAGATACACCACCTCGTTCTGGGTCGTTTTCATTTGCTTCTTCGCTCATTTTCTGAACGGACTCTTAATCCGACTGGCTGGGTTTCGGTTCCCTTTTGCTAAATCTAAAGACACGGAGCCGGCCGGTGCGTCTGCAGACCTCATGTACTGAGAGGTGGACAGTGCGGTCATTTCCAACTCAGGGAGTGGACTTGCTTTGGCACTTTGATGCATGGTTCGCTTTTCTCATCCTTTACACGCCACAAGCGGAAAGCACCAACCCCCTCACGGCGATGCTTGCCAACGATGTAGGTGGGCACACACCGGAAGGACACAGGGCCGCGGAAAGAAGATGGTGGAAACACTGGGCCTGATTGATCCAAGTGTCAAAGGCAGTTGATTTGAATGGGCCAGTGACTACTCTCCACGAGGGTCCGTCAAACAGGATGTCTTCAAAATCACAGGAAATGTTCTTGAACAAAAATATGGAAGTGGGAAGCTTTGACTTTTGACACACCCTCTCTATACTCCGAAGGTGGCATTTCCATCTCTCGAACATTCTCTCTGCACCCCTCTCCCGCCGCCACCCACAAGAATTCTGAGGGCTTTGATTTGCCCTGCCTCAAACCGGCCGTTGGAGGATCCTTGACAGACTGACGTTGCATCTCTCAAATGTTTGTTGTTTGGTTTGCTGAAGGAAATACTGGGGAGAAACCCGAAGGCTGGAGGGTGGACGAGGGGAGGTTTCCCAATGAAATCCTCAAGAGACAGCCCTGGATACCCCTGAAGAATAAGCAAGGCCGCTGACCTGTTGGGAAGAAAAAAAAATTTTTCTTAGTGCAAATTTTCTGACATTTTGCTCACCAATGCAGTTTAAATTAAATTTTTCTTCCTGTGATTTTCCTGTGTCCTTCAAAACAATCTACCAAGATTACCCCTTTAATCGTCTCAAAAACAAAAACAAAACCATTGTGGGGTTTTGTTGCTTTTTGAGTTGACCTCACTGCCATGAAAGCCTTTTTTTTTTTTTTTTTAAAGGCGGCCCAGGGAGACTGAGAGTATAGTAGCGAAAGAACTTGTGTGCAGTCACCCACTGCTTACAGAGCCGTGTTGGATGGAACTTGGTTTGTTAGGAATAAACCCATGCTTGCCTGAGTCAGACCCCTGGTAGCAAAACTTTTTGATTTGCCCTCGTACATCCCAGAGTACAAGATGCTTGTCCCATCAGAGAGGACTCAAAAGACGCATGGAATAGTATCGTTTGTATAAAAACAAGGACTGTCTATAATAATCCCACATTGTTGCCTCAGATATCAGAAAACAGAGCTGACATAGCTTTACTAAAGCGACAGTGCATTAAATGACTATCTATGAAATGTATCAGTCCTTTACCCCCTAAGTTTCCTTACTTTTTTTTTTAAAGAACAGTTTCACTCATCCTGCTTGTTGGTCAAATTCTGCAACTCTCTAAAAGAAAAGACAGAAGGAGAAATACTTGAGCGGAGTGCATTTTCCCTCATGTCCCGAATACCCAACTACATGTGACAGGCTTTCAACGGGCCTCCGGTGGCTGGGACCACCGAAGAATCAGGAACAGTGATTCCTCCTAGTAAATTGGGTGCAACATAACCCATGGGAGGCTGTTGCTTCTAATTAGAGCAGCGGTTCTCAACCTGTGGGTTGTGACCCCTCTGGGGGTGGAACAACCCTTTCAGAGGGTTCGCCCGATTCATAGCAGTAGCAAAATGACAGTGATGAAGTAACAACGAAAATAATTTTATGGTTGGGGGTCACCACCACATGAGGAACTGTCTTCAAGGGTCATGGCATTGGGAAGGTTGAGAACTCCTGAATTGTCGAGTGTGTCAAGCACAAATTCCGAACGTTGAACATGACATTAAATTTGGGGAGGATGATGGTATTGCCGTATCGTTTTTGGTCCAGCTCTCCCAAAGCGTGACCCCAGTCATTATTTATCTCCTGTATGACCCAGGACATCGATCCGAAGCTGACCAAAGGTCACAGCTGAGCTGGGAACCTAGCCTTCCTCCCGCCTCAACCTGCCGTTGGCAAAGAAGCATTGGAGAAGAAGCAGACAAAAAGAGAATCTGCCTATCAGGCACCTCGCCACAGATAAGTGGACTTAACCATAGGAAAAGATTTACAACTGCTTGCTCATTTGAAAAAACAAAACAGAAAATGTTTCCCCTTTTTGAGCAGTTGACAAACGTCAAAGGACTGGCTGCTTCAGCAATCACTTGCTCTGGTGGGATGTGCTGCTGCTGACAAGCCTTCATCGGAACAAAACGTCGGTTGCCAGATGCGACTCCTTTGACCTTCATTCAGGAGAGACCCCTGGAGAGTTTTCAGAAGACCCTACGTCCACCCAGAGTTGATTTGGGTGACAGGGAGGGGCCCAGTTCTGGGTGCTGGACGTCTTCGGCCCGAATTGATTCCATGCAGAAGCGTGGGGAACCAGGAGTGAACCAGAAAGCCCACGGACCATCCCCACCCAGCTGCGGGCAATTGGACTGAGGGCCCAGAAGGCCGCCCTCCACCCACAGCGCCCCCACCCCGCCCCCTCCACCTCAGAGGTTTGAAAACCTCTAACACTGAACTTTTCTTCTTTAGAAAACAAGTCTCTGGTTGTTCTCTGCTCTGTGAAAAGAAAGGAATGCTCCCGGCCGGCCCGGCCGCCGCTGAAAATCTAATGAGGAGCTAATAGGCAAACCGGCAAGAGTCCTTCAATGGGAAGGCGAAGGGGGACAGCCCCAGATGCCCAACTGGCCCCTGCAAACCGTGCGGCACACAAAAATAAAGCCAGATACAATCTGGGCACTCAGAGCAGAGCACTAATGGTCTCTCTTTCTTCTCTCGGTGGCCTGAAGGGTGACCCCTGAGAAGGGATCAGGCCAGAGCCTGCCTTTGTTGTTCCCTCGTGGGAATCAAAGGCCCGGGGTGGGGGGGTGGGCAGCATGGCCTTCATTTTGCCCTGGGAGCCCAATGTCTGCCCTCTGCTCCCCTCCCCTCCCCAGGTGGCAGCCAGCATTCTCACGAGGATGCGGGGGCCCCCTGCTGGTTCTGGGGTGACAAATACCAAGCCATAGCTGGGCACCTTTCCACATGCCTTTCCTCAATGCCTCATGCCCTCCGCCTCTAGAATGCCGAGGCTTCTCCTGCCACAGGGGCTCAGAGGCAAGAAGAGTCTATAATAAAGTCCTAAATACCTGAGGGTCGATCCCTCCAGGACAAGGCATGACCTCTAAAACGGAGGAACCTTCAGAATAAACCGACAGCTCAGGCAGACCAGGTGGGCTTTATGGTCTTCAAAGGGCTTTGGCACCTCAGTCACTTCTGCTGCTGGCAAATTCATGCGACTGGTGGCTCCCATGTTTACGCGGTGTTTGTCTGGGTAGACTAGAGAAACACATTCATGGACACTCACATGTATATAAGAAAGAGCTTTATATAAAAGAGCAATTGTCCATTGAGAAACATCCCTGCCCAGTCCAGATGAAGTCCATAAGTCCATTATTAGCCCACATGTCCAATACTAGCCCATAAATTCCTCTTTAGACTCTCGCAGCCATGCAATAATGCCAAATGCAGGAAGATCACAGGCCGGTGGGTGGAAAGTCTTGTAGATCCAGTGGCGGGGTGGAAGCCTCTCAGCACTGGTGTGGGTCTCCATGTGGCTCCTCTAGCTCCAGGGCTCTGGCTGCCTCAGTGTGTCTCCATGTGGCTTGTCAACAGGAATGTCAAGCTGAGAGCCTGTGTCTGGCAATTTTTCTCCAGTGGGCCTCCACATGAGGTTATCAAGCTGCGACCCGATTGACAGGCTAGACTCCACCCCTTTGCAAGCTGACAGATTATGTAGCTGCCACACGTGGTCCAAGGGCAGGCAGGACAATGCAGCCCTCCGTTCTCCCTCTAGCAGTGTGAGGACAGATCAGTCTGTGCAGCCAGGATGGACAAACTGTTGCTTTCTCCCAGCTCTGATGGAGAAAGGAGGGGACCCACCAGCTTCCAGAGAAGCGTGGGTGGACATTGGCATGACTATGTCTCTCAACAATTTACCTAGTGCAACCCAAGGAAGAACCACAGAGTGGCTACTGGGGAGCTGAGAGTGAAAGATAGGGATGTGTGTGAGTGTGAGTGAGTGAGTGAGTGAGTGAGTGAGTGAGTGAGTGAGTGAGTGTGTGTGTACGATGGGGCTAATATCCTTTGTTTTCCTCAAACTCTTCTTCGTCAGTGGGACCCAATTTAGATCAAAGCAGTGGGTTTCTTATAGAAACTGTTTCCAGACAAGACTCGAGCCATGTGTCTCCTTTTTCTGACTGCCTCGCTGCTCCTGGACTCCCTCTCTGAGCTCCTCTGGGACCTTTCCTGTCTCAGCATTCTGTGTTCGAATTGGTGAGCTGTCCCTTCTCAAGCCCCTTCAATAGGCCAGTTGGTCACAACTCACCTCCACTCAGCGTGAAAGGGCAGAGCCATGCCGGCCAGTTTAGAGAAAGGTGTATGGCTTTTTGAAACTGAAAAGCAGAGAGGTAAACTGGGTGGTTCTGAGGCCCTGGCTTCTGCGATGAATTTCCCACTGGGAGAAAAGATGTTGTTGTTAGAAACCCTAACATACACGGAGTGATTTATAGGCGTGGTGCCTATCTCAGGTACGTACTGTTTCTATCACAGAAATTCCACAGTAGGGGCTTTTAACACACAGCAATGTGTTCTCTCAACAACAAACAGAACGTAACGAACAGAAAGGCGTAGTTTAGCAGATCAGAAGTGCAAGGTTAGGATGCCAGTTTAGAATGCTTTCTCTATATTGCAGCTCTGGGTCAGTGGTTCTCAACCTTCCTAATGCCGCGACCCTTTAATACAGTTCCTCATATTGTGGTGACCCCCCAACCATAAAATAATTTCTGTTGCTACCTTATCACTGTCATTTTGCTACTGTTATGAATCGGACGACCCCCAAAAGGGTCACCACCCACAGGTTGAGAACCACTGCTCTTGGGGGGGGGTCCTCGTATGCTTTCATCAACTGGGGACCCAGCTGCTTCCATGAGCATTGATTGTGAATCCAAACCGGATGAAATCCCCAATAAGTTCAATCTTTTTTCCATTTAGCATGATGTTCCCGGTGGGTCCAATGGTGAGGGTGTCTGTCTT